ATTATTTAATTATCTTCAACTCTTCAAGATATCAACAACTAATTAGAGTTCTTTTGTAGTTTAGCTAAGGAGGAAGATTTTAAAGTGGAAGTCATGAAAAATATATTTTTTGATGAAAGGGAATGATTTACACAGAGCCTTGTGGTGCAAGAAGGTCAGGGCGCAAAGGATTTGGACACAAAAATAAAGGGGGCAAAAGAGATTACTAGCATTTAATTATTGGCCAGTTTAACAGTTATCAAGGACTCAATAGCATTTGCTACAATTTTAACAGTGACTGAATTATAGATTCACAATAACAACATTCCCACAACAGTCAATTCACACCCACACCCAGGCAGTGATGTGTGGACACATCAATAGCTGGGTGTGGAAAGGTCCCTCTCCAAAATTCTCCTTGTTGTCAGGGAAACACTCCCCCAAATCCCTTTGTGTTTCCCAACAGACAAGGATCACAGGGCCTCCCTCAGCACTGCTGGTTGTGGGCTCACAAGGTGACTGGCTTGAGTTATCTGCTGAATTTCCATCCTGGTGTCAGGAATGACTGGAGTTTCCAAAATATTTGGGAATGATATCCAAACTCTTCCATTTGGGTTACGATTCAGGTAGGGAATTTTCCAAGGTTTTCATGGGATGACTGATTATCCTGTGTTCTTCAGCTCTTACACTCATCCCAGGTCAGCTGGATGGTTTATTGACAATGTGTCCCGAGGGGTGGCACCTCCGATGCCATAGAAACCCCTCCCCCTGGATTAGGAAACATTTGGAATTCGCGAGGTGTTCCAGTGGAGCATGAAAATGAACAGCAATTTTCCTAAAGCAAAGAACCAAGCAGAACAAAGCAAGGCCCCAGCAGTTGCAGAGCAAAGGTCCCCCCACCCCTCTGTCCCCTGTGGCCGCTGAGGCGGCAGCGCAGACCCGAGGCGGTGCCAGGTCCCGGTGCAGCCGGGGCAGAGCGGCGGCTGCGCGAGCGGCAACCCCAGCGGTGAGTGCGGCAGCCCCGTGGCAGCGGCGGCTCCGGGCACAGACGCCGGCGGCATCCGCTGTGGCGGCGGAGCAGCGACTCCGAGGTGCTGCAGGAGCGCTGGCTCTGCTTCCAGGCGCCGGCAGTGTTGGGAAGCCGGTGCCGGGCGGCTGCAGGGCAGCGCAGGCCAAAAGCGGCAGCGGCGGCAGCCTCGTGGCAGCGGCGGCTCCGGGCAGACGGCCCCGCTCCAGCGCTGCCGCCTCAGCGGCGCTCAGGGGACGGCGCGGCGGCTCCGGGGGCAGCGGCCGGGGACTCCCTCTCGGGGCAGCCCTGGGCACCAAAGAGGACCAGGGCCCGGCGTGTTCTCAACTTGGTTCTCTGCAGTTCTCCCGGCATCTGAGCACAGGATGGGATGGGGAAATTGAGCTCAGCCAGAACAGGAGCTCATGGAACCAAGTGGCCATTGGGACACTGCAGGGCCTCCTGGAACCAAGGGGCCGGTGGGACACTGGGGAGCCTCTTGGAGCCAAGGGAACCTTGGGGTATTTTGGAACATCATGAAATCATGGAGCCATTGGGACATTGCAGGGCCTTGAGGACATAGTGGAAACTCATGAAATCATCAGGGCCATTGTGACACTCCAGAACCTCATGGAACCAAGGGTCCATTATGACACTGAGAGGCCTCATGGAACCAAAGGAACCCTGAGAGTTTTTGGAACCTCAAAGAATCAAGGGGCCATTTCTGGCAGGATGCTCTGCTCTGATAATACCTAAACAATGGTCAGAGAATGCAAACAATGCAAGGTCTCTGTGGTGAGTTACTGCTGGTGTCAAGGTGCTGTTTTTAATGGTGAATTCTGCTAAACCCAAAATGCTTCATGAAACTTCAAACATACATCCTGCTTTTTGAAGCAGGATTTGACAGATAAGCTGCTGCCTGGCCTGGAAATATGTCTGGCTGTCAAACCCTTTATAACTGTAAAAGCCCCGTCCAACTTTCATGTGGCAGATTCTTCCACAGACTTCCTTGAAGTGTGTGGAGCTTCTGCCATGAAGCAGGGACAGCTCTTCATGGTCACTGCCCAGGGCTTAAGTGAAAGAGAGAGAACTACCCCGTCCTCGTGGGGTGAGTTACCTCAATCTGTGCTTCAGGATTGTTTCTTTTTGCTGGCTTTGAGACAATTGCTTCCCTACCTGAACTGCAGCCCAAATGGAACAGTTTGGATACAATTCCCAAATATTTTGAAAACTCCAGTCATTACTGACACGAGGATAAAAATTCAGCAGATAACTAAAGCCAGTCACCTTGTGAGCCCACAACCTGCTGTATGGACTTCCCCGGTCCTGAGGTCAGTGGGACAGGCCAGGAGTTGCCCAGATCCTCCTTTTGGCCCTTCCTGTGGATGGGCATCTCATTTGCTTGTTGCCAGTCAGCTGGGACTTGTGCAGTTCTGCAGCACTGCTGGGGAATGAGTGAGAGTGGCTTGGCCAGCTCTTTCTCCAGCTCCCTCAGGACTCTTGGGTGCATCCCATGTGGGGCCAGGCACTTGTGGGGGTCTCATTGGCAGAGCAGGTCACTGACCATTTCCTCCTGCATTGTGGGGGCTTCACTCAGCTCCCCATCACCAGCTTCCAGCCAAAGCCTGCCTGCCAGGTGTCCAAGGGGTCAGTTCTGCTGCCCCCTCCTTCCTTCCCCCACAATGGAAAACTCCCTCATTTTGGGTCCCTGTGCCCCAGACGGCTCCGACCACCACCTCCCCCACCAGTCCCACAATCATGGAATGCTTTGGCTTAGGAGGGGTCTTAAAGAGCATCTCAGCACCCTCAGAGTCAAGAATTCCTTCCTACTATCTCCTGGAACCCTTCGCTCTATCCGTGTGAAGCCACTGCCCCTTGTCCTGTCCCTCCAGGCCCTTGTCCAAAGTCTCTCTTCATCTTTCTTGTTGACTCCCTTCAGGCACTGGAAGGCCACAATTAGGTCACCCCAAAGCCTTCTCTTCTCCAGCCTCAACAATCCAAGTTTTCTCAGCCCTGAGATATTTCTGAACCTCCCAGAATCCAGGGGCCATTGTGACCCTGCAGAACCTCCTGGATTCAAGTGGTCCTTGTGAAACTGCAGGCTCTCCTGGAACCCAAGGATTCCTGGAACACTGCAGAGCTGACGGAACCAAGGGGCCACTGTCCCACTGCAGCTACATAGGAAAAACAAGGGACCCTGGGACAATGGGAAATCTCCGAGAATCCAAAGGGCATTTGGGGACTGCAGGGCCTCATGGAACTAAAGGAAACTTTGGAGACTGTGGAAGCTCATGGAATCCAGGGGCCATTGTGACACTGTGGAAACTCCCGGAAGCAAAGGAACCCTGAGAATTTTTTTGAGAACAAGTTAAGGTAGCAGCAGCTGCTCTCAGTTAATCAGGATCAACAAGGAGTGTTTTGGCCTTGACTGGTGTTTTCCATCAAGAGAGTGCTGTTTGCCAAAGTGGAAAACACTTGGAATGCTCTGTATGGTAGCCTGTGTTTTTCTCTGGTGGCTGAACACAGCCAGCACATGAGGGGAGAGGAATGTGTGGGATCAGGGCACTGCTTTGGGGCCATGCTGGGAATTCTGGTGGACTAAAAGACAAACCCCAGGCGCTGTTTCCAAAGGAACCCCAATGAAAGGGGGACGCCGGAAAGATGGGCGGACAAGTCCCGCAATGGTACTCTGTGTGTGCAGCCTCATTTTCTCCTTCAGCACCTACAGGAGAGGGGGCAAAAAGTGGGGGTTGGGAGCCCAAAACAGTTTGCGGGGGAAACTGGGGATTGAGGGAACAATGGGAAAGTGGGAGGAACAGGGAGAAGGGTGGAAAAGAGGGGGTGGACTGGTGGGTCTGACAGTCCCATGGGGGCTTTGGGCACAGGCAGGTTGGCAAATGGGGGGTGGCCCCCCTGAGCTCCCAACTTACTGTGGGGTGCTGGGGGCTGCTGGATCCAATCTCAGCCTTGGATTATGACAACAGTTTCAGTTTAGAGCAATTACAGAGGTGTCATTGAAACACTTTTGTCCCCCAGCTTTTTATGATGGCAAATCAGATCTATTGATAGAAATGAGTTATTTAGGGTTACAAATGATCAGACAAAAGATCTTTATCAGAATTATTTATTGTACAGTATACACACTAAAACTACCAGGAGTGTTGCAGGATTCAAATTGTATGAACAATTTCTATTGCATTTCTGTAGGCCTTGCTTGACATGACTAGAAGCTGTAAGCTGTAATGTTTATGCTTATAGACTGTGTGAAAATATGCAATGTTTATACTTGTTAGCTGTGTGTCTAATTATAAGGTTTGAGAACATAGTATGTTTATAGTAAGAAAGCCTTGAGAAACTAGAGATAAGGGTGCACCTGCAAATTTCAGAAAGTTCCTAATTATGAAGGCCTCTACATGCCAAGTATGACTTCAGATCGCATGGACAGAACATCAGGTCCAATGAACTGGAGACATGAGACGCGTGTACAGACTGAGCTATCCAATCACCTTGTTGTAAGCATGTGCCCAAAACAAACTAAACTGTATAAAAGTTGACTTAATTAAATAATAAATTGAACATATGGCTGACCACATTGGCCTGTATGCCTTATGTTTATGCCCCTCCATCAATACAGGAGTACAGGATAAGATAGGACAGTGCTCTGCACTAAAGCAATTGTTGAAGCAATTCTACTGAAGCTGGCACAAAAGCAATAATTCTTAAGTAGAGATGGATGAAACTCCCCCAGACCAACGCTCGTGGGGAGATCTCTGCTCTCAACCTCCAGCAGTGATCTTGGGGGGTCCCCAGCCAAGGCAGTAATCTCCACACACCCCCCAGGAAGGGTTCTGTTGGAAGAAGCTGCCCCTGGGAAAGGGGACTGGCCCTTTCTGGTAGAAAGGGATGGACTGACAGTCACTGGACTCCAGGGGTTGCCTCACCATCAGGGGCTTCATTCGGGGTGGAAGCAGCGGCCGAAGCTCTTCCCACAGTCGGGGCACTGGTAGGGCTTCTCTTACCGGTGGGTCCGTTGGTGTGAGGTCAAATTAGCCCTCTGGGCGAAGCTCTTCCCACACTCCCCACACTTGTAGGGCCTCTCCCCAGTGTGGATGCGCTGGTGGATGATAAGGGTGAAGTTCCGGCTGAAGCCCTTCCCGCAGCCGGTGCAGCGGAAGGGCCGCTCATCCGTGTGTGTCTGCTCATGTCTGATGAGAGTTGAGCTGCGCTGAAACCTCTTCCCGCATTCGAAGCATTTGTAGGGCCGTTCTCCAGTGTGGCTGAGCTGGTGGTTGCGGAGGCTGGACCGTTCACTGAAGCTCATCCCACATTCCCCACACGTGTAGAGCCGTTCCCCAGTGTGGATGCGTTGGTGGGTGTGGAGGCTGGAGCTGTCAGTGAAGCTCTTCCCACATTCCCCACATGTGTAGGGCCGTTCTCCAGTGTGGATGTGCTGGTGTCGGATCAGGCTGGAGCTGTCACTGAAGCTCTTCCCACATTGTCCACATGGGTAGGGGTGTTCCCCAGTGTGGATGTGCTGGTGTCGGAGCAGGTGGGAGCTCTTCTTGAAGCTCTTCCCACATTCCAAGCACCTGAAGGGCTTCTCCCGGCTGGGAAGCTGCTCAGGGACCACCAGGTCAGAGCTCTGCCTCAAGCTCCGGCCGCCTTCCCGGCACAGGCTGGCTCTTTCCTCCTCAGAGCACCCTGGGCTGGCTTTGGAGCCCCTCCTCCAGGGGGATCTCTGGGCCTTTTCCTCCCCGCTGCCTTCCTGCGCCATGGAGCCCTTCAAAACGGCCTCTCCCACCAGCTTCTGCTGGGGGGATTTGTCCTCCGGGCTCTCCGTCCTCCGCTCGGGGCCTTGGGTAGGAAGCAAGAAGGACAGGGAGGGGATTTGCCTCTGGCCAAGAGGGAAGGCCAAGGACATCCCCCCAACTCCGGCCCCGGCAGGACGGCGGCGGCAGCGGGGTTGTCCTGCAGCCGGGGGCCATGCTCGGCTGCCAGAGCCAGCAAAAGACCAAAACAAAGGGGCACTGACTTCCTCCTCACCTGCCTGGGGGGCCCAAGGCATCTTCCTCTTCCTCGCAGCCCCCTCCTCCATCCGCCCAAGCTTTGGGAAGAACAAATCCTGATGAGGGGGAAAACAAGGGCTGAGTGTGTTGGTTTGGAGGTTCCTCCTGCCCAAGTCCATCTCTGGAGCTCACTGGGCATCCTGTGTCCATAAAAACCTCCAAAACACCAAGATTCAGCCCAGAAAAACCAAAACCACCCAGATTCAAGGAAAAAACCTCTAAGAAATAGCGAGATTAACCCCCCCCACAAACTGCAAAAAGTTAAAATTTAGCCAGAAAATACTCCAAATTATGAAGATTCAGCCCAAAAAAACGGTGTTTAATTGGGAGGATGAGGGGAGTGAGGTCATTTCATGAGCACTTGATTGAGTTGCTGTATATTAATCAAAAGTTGTATTAATGTAGTCTCACTTAAAACTCTCCAGGGCTGTTCCTCAAGGTTCTCTGGCCCCCTGCCAGTCCGGGGCTGTTTCTCCAAACCACCAAACCAAGTGTGCCAAACGCCCTGGTTGGTCAGTGCCGGCTGGGGGAGCGGGCACTCGCTGAGGGGATGAGAAAAGTTCACCCGGGGCTGGGCTGAAAGAGGCTTCAGCACCACTTCTGATGGCCCAGGGGCAGCATCTGGCTTCCCCCACACAGAGAGATAGCACTTGTTCCTCTGCAAGTCAAGGGCAGGAGGGTGACTCCTGCTGCATGGATGGAATGGCAGAGGATCCCTTGGGTCCCCAGGCTGGATCAGCACTCAGGGATACAAACTGCCCTCGGGCTCAGGATGCAGCTGCCAGCACAGATTTCCCTGCAAAGTCTGCACTGAGTCAAGCTCTGCAGATGAGATTGTGCCCCATGGATGGGATTGCAGAGGGGCCCTCAGGTCCCCAGCACCAATCAGCAACCAGGAATAGACACAAAAGGCCCCCACAAAGATTTCAGGGGGAGTGTCCTGTAGGGAGGGGACAGTGTCACCCCACCAAGGCAAGGCTGGCAAGTGGGAGGCTGCTCCAGGGGTCTGCAAGAGGCCTCGTGCTCTGCTCGGCCCCAGCACTGGCTGGTACCAACACCCCCGGCTGCCCCCGGCCCTGGGCAGCTCTGCTGCCACAGGCTGTGCCCTCACCGTGGCCCTGCAATGGCCCTGCCTGTCCCTCACCCCTGTCCCTGTCCCTTGGCTCTCCCAGAACTTAGCCTGCTTTGCTACCACCACACATTTACAGACTAACCTTGGAGATATATATGGACAGACATCTCTATCACCCTGGGGATAGAGCCTCAAGCATGTGCTGCCATAGGAATGGGAATCAGAGAATCACAGAATCAGCCACGTTGGAAAAGACCTCCGAGATCATCAAGTCCAACCCTTGATCCAACCCCACCGTGCTTCCCAGACCATGGCACTGAGGCCACATCCACTCTCACCTTCAACACCTCCAGGGACGCTGACTCCACCCCCTCCCTGCCCAGCCCATTCCAAGGCCTGATTACTCTCTCAGGAAAAAATTGCTTCCTAATATCCAACCTAAACCTCCCCTGGCACAGCTCAAGACCCAGCCCTCTTGTCCTACTGCTGCTTCCTGGCACAAGAGCCCCACCCCCACCTGGCTACAACCTCCTGGCAGGGACTTGCAGAGAGTCAGGAGGTCTCCCCTGAGCCTCCTCTTCTCCAGCCTCAACAACCCCAGCTCCCTCAGCCTCTCCTCACACCACTTGTGCTCCACTCCCTTCCCCAGCCTCGCTGCTCTTCTCTGCACCTGCTCCAGCCCCTCCAGGGCCTTCCTCAACTCAGGGGCCCAGAGCTGGACACAGCACTCCAGGGGTGGCCTCACCAGCGCTCAGTCCAGCCCAACAATCACTTCCCTGCTCCTGCTGACACACTCTTCCTCAGACAGGCCACCATCCACTGGCCCTCTTGGTCACCTGGCCACACTCTGCCTCCTCTTCAGCTTCCTGGCAATCCACACTCCCAGCTCCGTTTCTGCCTGGCTGCTCTCCAGCCACTCTGGCCCCAGCCCGGGGGGCTGAGGGGGCTTCTTGTGGCCAAAGGGCAGGACCCGGCCCTTGGCCTGCTTGAACCTCATCCCCTTGCAATCAGCCCATGGATCCAGCTTGGCCAGGTCCCTCTGCAGAGCCCTCCTGCGTTCCAGCACATCAACACCCCCCCCAGCTTGGTGTCAGCTGCACATTTGCTGATGAAATGCCTGGTTCTGCAGGAGCTGCAGATGCTCAAGGGGCAGCAGGACCAAGTCCGGGGCCTGGGGGGGGCCTGGGGGGCTTTGGGGTGCAGGAGGGTCCTGGAGGAGCTGGGGAGGGGCTTTGGGGATTGAGGATACAAACCAGGACACACCAGTACAGACCAGTACCTCCTCATTGCTCCCCAGATCCCTCCTGGAGCTGGGACACGTTGTCGTGGGACACCTGAGCTCTCACAGTGCCCTCCCAGTACAGCCCAGTGCCCCCAGTACAGCCCACTGTGTTCCTGTCCCAGGGTGCCAGGTGATCCCTCTCTGAGGGGGGATTGGAAAGGATTTAAGGGGGGGGCTTGGGATGATTTGGGAGGATCTGTGGGGTGTTGGATGAGGAACTGGTAGGGTTTGGGGGGGCTTTGGGTGCATTTAGGGGAGTTAAAATGGGTCTTGGGAGGTGAAAGGGATCTGTGGGGGGGAAGAGGATTATAGGAAAAAAAGGGGAGTTGGGGGACATTTGGGGGAGTTAATGGGGCCTTGATGGGGAGAGGAGCAGCTTCCCTATGAGCAGGTGAGTCCAGAGACCCCCCCTGGTGTCCCCAAGACCCTTCTGGCGTCCCCAAATCCCCACTTGACACCGCCAATTCTACTGTCCACAAACATCTCCCCAGTGACCCCAGACCCCATCCCTGATGTCCCC